AAACAAAAGAAAACAAAACAACTATATGGCTCACTTAGTTCAAATATTCGTGATTTTACAAATTGATCCTACTTCCCCACAAAATCCATCCTTCATAAAATGCTGATGGCTATAGTTTCCAGTCTCGAGTGTTACAGGGGCTATCTGGAGACCTATGGGTCCATTTTGTAGAGTCAACCTTCTAATAAGCTGCATCAAATCCATCAGGTTTTTCCCCCTCTACAACTGATACGATCATGTCAAGTTTGCTATCATGATTTTGTGACAGTAGTTAATGAACACTTTGTAAAATATTTTGTACAAGAAAATGTTATGTTTAAACCTGTAAGCTCTAGATTCTAAAATCACACACGCACCATACATTTCTATATTGTTTTATAGTTTATTTTTAAAATGACAGTAACAAATGCTTTCCCCTTGTTGGAGAATGACATATTTATTTTTAGTGAATAGTAATACCTTAAAAAGTAACAGCATTCCGTTCAAATTGAACTTATATAATTGCACAAGTCATACAAAGCATTAAGAAATGCTAACAAAGACTGCAGTTTTCTCAAATCCTCGTGGAGCACATCCCAAGAAGATGATTCCAGTAGGGACCTCTGATCGGAACAATACTGATGCTCTGATTCAGTGACACACAGGCAGAGACAAGAAGAGCAACCAGGAGAACCCATGTGGTTTGTAACAGTGGAATTCTGCTGTAATGTTAGGGTTTAACGATGCATTCATCATCTCATTACTCTAGGAGCAGTAAAAACACTTCAGCTTATAGTATATTTGCCCAGTCTTAAAACTTACCCTGTCAGCTTAAGTTGTGGGGCTATCGATCCTACTTCAGGAAACTAACATTTAAAAAAATTAACCACACCCTAAAAACCTCTTCCAAGCAGGGTTCTTTATGCTGCCACCATCTGTGGGCCCTTACTTATTTTCTAATACACACACAAGTAAGTTACATTATCACCTGTCATATATTAGTTGAGGGATGAGAGAGCATTTCTAACTCAAATTCCAACTGTTTTTTGGCAGCAGTTATTGGAAACACGGCTACAAAGGACTCTGAGGCCACAGCTGGACTGGTGGAATAGCACACCATGCTTTACTGCGATCTCCGACACGTGTGCAGGACCGGGAGCGGCAGCGCTCAGGCTTCATGTTCACGATCTTCCTATTATTCACACAGCTGAGGAGGGTGTGAGTTACGGATGTTTGGAAAAATATAACAAAGCTGAATTTTTCTGTTTTAATGAGTTATGATATCTTTACTTAGAGATTTAATTATTTTTAGAGATCTTAATTTCAATTAAGATACAATTTCTATGGTGAGCGTTTTCTCTATCTCACCTTACACAAATGAGAAAAAAACAAGGTTTTGAAAGAAGATGAACACAGAGTACTTCAAGTTACCATTAGAAGTACCTTCCTAACTTGGATACTATGATTATGAGACGAGGAGAGTTCTTATCCCAGTATTTCTACTATCGTGTTTAAAATAAAAATCACAGTCACAGCTTCCTGATTATGGGAAAAAAATAGCAATGCCTGAAATAAATATATAAAAGCATGTGACACTGACTATCCAGATATGCTTTCTTCACTTAGATGGCATTGTTAATAATCCAACCATACATCTTCAGTTCAGGGAGAAAATTCCAGTGGTAACATTTGAACAATTGTTTCTTTTTTCATATA